TGTGTGTGTGTGTGTGTGTGTGTGTGTGTGTGTGTGTGTGTGTGTCCATGAAGGATAAACCCACCGACAGGAAGTTGAAGGTTTCTGGGAGAAACAACACAATTTAAACACCGCAGCTAACTTTGACGTTAGCTGCAGCTGGAGCTAAAGCTAAAGGACAGAAGATGACACCTCACACTGACACCAGCAGCTAACCTGCAGCTAACCAGCAGCTAACCAGCAGCTAACCTGCAGCTAACCAGCAGCTAACCAGCAGCTAACTGGGACCAGCAGAAGCTAACCAGTCATGTACATGAACCCTCTTCACTAGTTTACAGCTGCTGGATAAAGGATAACCAGTTACTTACCAGTACTACACATTTACAACCAGATATCCCAGTAAACCAACAGCTTACTAGCTACCAGACAGATTACAAGTCCGAACCAGTGGTAACCAGGAGCAGTAACCAGTCATTAACCAGTCGTTAACCCTTGTCATCAGTGGGCGGATAGAGGATAACCAGTTACTGACCAGTGAAGACTTTACAAACATAACCTAGTAACACAACAGCTTTTACTAGTATTAGCAAGTACGTACCATAAATCCTCCTGTATAAACTTGAGCAGGGATCGTTAGCAATGTCAATTATGAGTCCCTGTTGTAAACGTGTGTGTGACGTTGTGTTGTGTTATTATATTATGTAGTAAAGGTGTGTGTGACGTTGTGTTGTGTTATTATATTATGTAGTAAAGGTGTGTGTGACGTTGTGTTGTCTTATTATATTATATAGTAAAGGTGTGTGTGATGTTGTGTCATCAATAATATTCTCTCACCTTTTATAGAGATTTAAACAGAGTGAAGTTAGATCGCTTTGTGTTCATCCTACCTGGTTTATCTGCACTGCATTAATCGTTTTTCAGATCCACTTGCAGTCAGCTGTTTATCACTCCACAGGAAATATACAAGCTACTGGTTGCCGTCCGTGTTTGTTTTGGTAAAAGAACACGTTCAGGTGTTCTCGTGCGGTTTGTGGGGTCATCGCCCACCGAGGCTCCGCTCCGCCTGTTGTACTTTCTCAGTACTCAGGTTTATGCTGCTCCCTGTCAGAAGCTGAAACATGTGTGTGCGTTGGTGCAAGCAGGTTTTGATTGTGACTTCGTAGGCTTCAGCTCGGCTCCAGGTTTGTCCCGAGCTCTAAAATCTCCTTGATGATGAATTATTGCTTGAACCGTTAAACGTCCCTGACATGCAGCCCACAAATCATCCAGGGCGCTGCTGTGGGCTCGTCTGCGTTGGGGCTGGTAGTGCGGCATTCACACGCGTATTTGGCTCGGACACATGACAACTTGGTGGGGATTTCAGCAGTCATTGCCACTCCTCAGTGATGCTACATGCTCTATTCATAGACCAGTGGTAGGGTA